ATGAATTTTTTTTAAACAGGACCCAGGCAGGCCCGGCCCATTCCCCTGGAGCATATTCATGCCAGGACTGTATTGTCCTGAGCTCTCTGCTGTTTAAATCTCCTGCTGCGGAGCTGGTATTAATACAACACGTTTTCCTGGATTGAATATGGCTGAAACCCAGAGCAGCTGAGAGTAAACACACCAAAAAGGATGACAGTGAAAACAGTAATATAAAAATGGTGAAGAGATGTCCAAGTGGAAAAGCTAATTTCATGGCCTGATGTTGATCTGGCTGTGTACTAATCCTCATGATAGGTGTGACAGTTAAATACACTATGCAATCTATATGAGGGGTGCATCCTGTTTTTCTTCTCTGGACAAAGCTATGAGAAGAATTTCATCTTGGTTTGAGATTTCACAAGAGACTGCAACCAGAGGCTCAGTCTCACTTTTCCCTCACTGTCTGGAGCCTGAAGTTAAACCCCGGTAAAGCCATTCCCAGGGGCAGAAAGTGGTTTACGACAGTTTCCTTTTTAGATTATCTGTCTAAAACCTTTGTGGCCTCGAGGTTGGCAGAAACCTCTGTGGCTGGCTACACTGTCTGGAATCTACTATCTCAGGAAAAATGTAGCTCCATCGTCAGTATTCAAAAGACTCTCAACAGACTTATAAAATGACACTAATGCACAACAAACTACATCACACCAGATTAACCTAAATAAACCTCCAAAAACCACCCTCACATACAGAAAATCTATCTCCACCCATCCACCCACTGCTGGTGAAAGTTGTGTGGCATCTTTGTGGCTAGCACATTAGGGTGCTGTTAAAGTTGCATGTCAGTGCTGCTAGTGGTGCTTTGACTGGGCTTTAAAAGGCTAAATAAGAGGGCAGGTGAATCTAGTTCTGTTCATGACCGGACCTGAAAGCACAGTTACTGGTTACAAATGGTGAAAGCTGCATGACTGACTCCACCGCTCCCATGTTAACCTTAAAATAAGTATCCCAAGATAAGCAATCAGTTATTTGACTAGTGTCTGTGTGGTTGTCTTGTCTGTCCTCATTTGCTTGGTTTCCTGTTTGTGTCTGTCACAGAGCTTTTGTTTTTCACACTATTACTGTCCTGATGGTTTTATGCTCCTGCATGGTGTCATGCTTTAACTATCAGCACTGACTGAGTAATGTTTATTTAAGCTAAGATACAGTAATAATCTTCTTACTCAAGTCAAGTCAAGATTTTTATTTGCCATGTACAGTGGTGTGAAAAAGTGTTTGCCCCCTTACTGATTTCTTATCTTTTTGCATGTTTGTCACACTGTAATGTTTCAGATCGTCAAACAAATTTATATATTAGTCAAAGATAACACAAGTAAACACATCATGCAGTTTTTAAATGAAGGTTTTTATTATTAAGGGAAAACAAAATCCAAAACTATAGAGCCCTGTGTGAACAAGTGTTTGCCCCCCTGTCAAAACACTGGTTTATCGCACCTGAGTTCAATTTCTCTTGCCACACCTGTTCGCAATCAAGAAATCACTTAAATAGGACCTGCCTGACAAAGTGAAGTAGACCAAAAGATCCTCAAAAGCTAGACATCATGCCGAGATCCAAAGAAATTCAAAAACAAATGAGAAAGAGAATAATGGAGCTCTATCAGTCCGGAAAAGGTTATAAAGCCATTTCTAAAGCTTGGGGACTGCAGCGAACCACAGTGAGAGCCATTATCCACAAATGGCGAAAACATGGAACAGTGGAGAACCTTCCCAGGAGTGGCCAGCCGACCAAAATTACCCCAAGAGCGCAGCGACAACTCATCCAAGAGGTCACAAAAGACCCCACAACAACATCCAAAGAACTGCAGGCCTCACTTGCCTCAGTTAAGCTGAGTGTTCATGACTCCACCATAAGAAAGAGACTGGGCAAAAATGGTTTGCATGGCAGAGTTCCAAGACGAAAACCACTGCTGAGCAAAAAGAACATAAAGGCTCGTCTCAGTTTTGCCAGAAAACATCTTGATGATCCCCAAGACTTTTGGGATAATACTCTGTGGACAGACGAGACAAAAGTTGAACTTTTTGGAAGGTGTGTGTCCCATTATGTGTGGCGTAAAAGTAACACCGCATTTCAGAAAAAGAACATCATACCAACAGTAAAATATGGTGGTGGTAGTGGGATGGTCTGGGGCTGTTTTGCTGCTTCAGGCCCTGGAAGACTTGCTGTGATAAATGGAACCATGAATTCTGCTGTGTACCAAAATATCCTGAAGGAGAATGTCCGGCCATCCGTTTGTGACCTCAAGCTGAAGCGAACTTGGGTTCTGCAGCAGGACAATGATCCAAAGCACACCAGCAAGTCCACTTCTGAATGGCTGAAGAAAAACAAAATGAAGACTTTGGAGTGGCCTAGTCAAAGTCCTGACCTGAATCCAATCCTATTTAAGTGATTTCTTGATTGCGAACAGGTGTGGCAGTAATCGGGCATGGGTGTGGCTAGAGAAATTGAACTGAGGTGCGATAAACCAGAGGTAAGTTATGTTTTGACAGGGGGGGCAAACACTTATTCACACAGGGCCATATAGTTTTGGATTTTGCTTTCCCTTAATAATAAAAACCTTCATTTAAAAACTGCATGATGTGTTTACTTGTGTTATCTTTGACTAATATATAAATTTGTTTGACGATCTGAAACATTACAGTGTGACAAACATGCAAAAAGATAAGAAATCAGTAAGGGGGCAAACACTTTTTCACACCACTGTATGCTCTCCTTTAGAGTCAGGTAAGGAGTCAAAAGCCAGAAAAAACACTTAGTCTGAAAATGAAAGGCAACAAAGCATTAAAACCGCAATACACAAAAATGGGGTAATAGTATTTTCTCCAGTGAACTTCAAACATTGCACTTAGTAATTCACATGGTGG